AGAAGACCCGCCCGACGACGGGGTGAATTGGTCGAGGCCACCGAACGAGTCCTGCAGTGGTCAAATGTCAGCTGTGTTACCCATTGCTGACGGCATATGACGGTGCCGCGAGAGGAGAAGCCGGTCTTGCACGTACCCTATTCCGTTTCTTCTGGTTGGCGTAGGCCTTTGTCCTCAACTTCTTAATGCCCAGGAACAGTCGCACGCGGTCGCCGACCTTTTCGATGCCCATCTCCTTGAGGACATCCTTGTCGAGCTCGAGGAGGTTCTCGCCATTGATGTGGTTCTTACGGAAGAGCTTCTCGTACTCGCCGCATTTGACGCTCCTCAAATAGTCGCAGACCTTGTCCTCGTCCCAGTTCTTGACGGCATCGGGGCCATCGCTCTCGGAGAATTCGGATTCGGTCGGGCTGGCGTAGGCTGTGGACTGGTTCGAGATCGTGGGTGCCCGTCTTGAGGGCGGTGCGGCACCGGTAGAAACGCTAGAAACCATGGGATTGCTGGAGCCCAGCGGTGCCGGGAATGCGGTTTTGGGGGCCAGCATTGCCATCTTGTAATTGTGATACGTCAGGTGGACATTGACTGAAGTGAAGTTGACGTGGTCGATGGCGGTGGTGATCGCGGGAGGGGTTTGTCTCAGCTGCCTCTCCTGGAGCGCGTCGTGCCGAGAGAGGATTCCGTCAGGCAGGTTTCCGAGACAGGGAACAAGGCGTCGGGCCGGATGCGATAGAAGCGAAGAAGCTGCGATATAGCGAAAATGTGGAATGTAAGTGTCTCTCGCTGGATCCGAGTTGGGGAATGTCGAGCCTCTTCAGTGCCGGACCGTAAAGGCCTGGTTTCTGCTTGGAGACGCAGAGGAGGGAATTTGGTGAGGGCGAAGGTCGTGTGTGGAATTACGGGTACTTCGGCCGGGAGGGAAAAAGAGGAGGGAAGGGGAGGGTTAATGATGGATTTTGGGGGTGCAGGGGACTTGCACTTGAGAGCCAGCGGCAGGGAGGGGTGTGTGAGTGGTGCAGGTGTAAGCAGCCTCAGAGGTATCTTCACACACAAGTTGGGATGCGAGATACTTCATCTACGGGTGGGCAGCAAGCACCACCACAGAGACTCTAACTGAGGTGAGCGACCACAGACCATACAGCAGGGGGGCAAGGTCAGAAGAGGGGAGGGCGGCAACAAGCTTCCAATGCTGCTTCTTCCTTTGTCACTTTGTGTGCTGTCGCAGCAGTCCGTGAAAGGAAATGGACTTGGCTGAGGCTCCAATGCAAAGAGGGATCTCTCTGAGGTGCTGTGTGTGTACAACCTTGGAACAACGGACGGTATCACTGTATAGCAAAGCAAAGCAAAGCTGAGCTACAAAACACGAGATTTACAGGCCGCACAGTCCTCGCAACGGCCCTGATGCGTCTGTTCGCTTGAGGCAGAAACTTGGGGAAAACAAACACACTCGAGAAGCTTTCCGCAGAGTCTGCCCTTGAGTCTTGGGCTTTTAGCCACTGTGACAGAGAGAGAAAGGCAACGTTGCAAAGGGGTACGACGACGATGAGGCGTACGGCAAGGTTTTGTTCGCGTTGTTTGAGGTCTGGTCTTTTGACGTATTGTTCAGCTATCCCCTGGTCTTCTTCGTCACCGAGTCTTTGGGTACGGAGTAGTGTTTCTTCATTTTGCTTGGGCATGTTATCTACCTGCCATACAGGCTTACACAGTACTCCGAAGAGGCTTACTATGTGTGCTAGGTAGCAATGTGTCCCAAGATGCTGTCAAAGAGCCTCCATCTCTGGCCAACTTGCCCGGTTCCCTCGGGTTTGCGGTCCACTCAAGAGCGACATTACACGGCAAAATGGCACGTCGATTCAACAAGGTTTTCGCTGGCCAAAGGCTTCTTCTGTTTCTCTCTCCTCTCCTTCCACGATGAGTCTCAGGCGCGATGGCGGATCATGGATGGAGTAGCCAAGCCCCTGTATGCACCCTTGGCAACATGGCAACCTTTAAAAGGGCGTTTGCAAGGGTATGGCGACGGCGGCGGCTTCATGAAACTGGCTCAAGCAGGGTCAACGCCGCACGTCCCCACCCAAACTTTGGCTCTGCAGCGGCACCTGCCCTCCTCAGTCAGTACCTGCCCTGAGCTGTCGTGACTCCTCATTAGCACTTGCCCTCACTGCCTGACTGCCCAGTCAGTACTTTCCAATAGCATTTTACTGCCCATCACTGAGGAAGGCACTCTAGGTAGAAAGACTCTGGAGCGTGCCTTCCCGTGCTTCCAACCAGAAACATGGACAATGTACCTGAGGAAGTCCTGAGGAATTACAAAGCCGTGAGCCGTCTTACCCCCCCCCCCCCCGAAACGTCCCCAATATCCCCCAATGTGTCCCCAACGTGTAATTTGCCCTCCTCAATGCGCCGTCATGCAACCCCCGCCGCCTAGCCAATCGCCGCCAAGTCGATATCTCGTGTTCTTGTATTGCAGTGTGCCACAAGAGACCCTCTCGTGCTTCTGATGCATCACGGCCTGTTCATCATGACGTCCACACATATTAGAGCCTGCAGGGACTCTGAGAAGAAAAGAGGTGCAACAAAATAGCAACCACGTCCAGCCACGGAGTCCGTGAACAGTGGCAGATGGGCGGGTGGTAGTTTGTTTATTCAGTTGTGCCGACCAAGCTCAAGTTGTTCTTCAAACAAATCAGAGAACACCCCGGCTTCTCGCTCACCTCTGGAATAATCCTACACGCGCCCATCCGAGTCTTTCTCTGCTATTCTTGGCCCGTCAGCAAACCCGCTTGGTTGCGCGCGCCGCCCGCCCCTTGCTTGCAAGACTGTTCCTATTCAAAGCCTCAGACTCTGTTCGCCAAAGCCACGTCACGGCGCCTCTCTTCGGACCTCGACCGCCCTTGACTCCCGACAAAGATGGGATGCAATTTCCTCTGGAACACAATCTTCCACAACAATGGCTTCGGCCATACCATGAAAGCCACCGAGGCGTACGAATACCGAGTGGTTAGTAGCCACGCCATCATGCACGGCCTCGCCTCCGTGGTGCCAGACGTCGTCTTATCGTCAGCCTACCCGTAACCCGCCCGCAGAGGCCTGCTCACGATCCCTTCTCGGGTGCAAGTGACAAGGCGGCCCGCCAAACGTACACGTTGGCATGCCATGTTCCGTGGTCTCTTCTATCCATCCGGATACACACCATGGCCCGGCATGAGCTCTCCACAACAATACCCGGCTCCTTGGAGGAGGTCACCGTCGCAACCGGACGCTGTCAACAACAAGAGCTTGTCCGTCTCGCCCGGATCACGAGAGGGTCAGAGATCCCCGCTGCGATGATACCTCCGCCGGTTCCACTCTGCTTGGGACGATGACACGATTACACGATAGGCGAAGATTGGTTTTGCCGCTGACCAACAGGCGGAGATCTGGTCTGTTGAATGGACGCCATACAATGGAGCCGACTCCTTGCAACGTGATAGGCCTAACGAGCAGACCAACACACCCTGATAATTTGGCTGCAATCCCCTATTTGCTTTCTCAGCCTGCCAGGAGGAGCAGGTCGCCACCAACCATCGTGAACTACCTATCAACGAACCAAGAGGTGCCCGCTAGGGAAGTCAGGTGTAAGCTGTTCGCCGAGGACAGCACAACAGAACTGCAGGAGTTCACAGTGACAAGGCCGGTGGAAGATTCGCAGAGGCCGGCAGCATGGCCTGCGTCCACCGGTGATTGGCTCCAGCGCACTCCCGCACTCAACTCGGGGCTGGATCGCTTGAAACCAGTCGTGTCGCACGTCTCGACACCCTCTCCGCTGCCCTGCATCCCTGGTTTCCCTCCTCTGGGCGCCAATATCCCGCCATGTCTTCACTGCTCCTTCGTTGGACACCAGGGACTACCAAGACTTGACCACCACGGCACCACTGCGCTTCATTACTTCACCAGTCTCCATATGGGAATTGGCTCACAAGACTGGGGGAACTCGGGGGAGCTACGGAGCGTCCTTTCTACTTACCTTTCGGCGTTGGCGCCCCTCAGATTAATTAACACGGCGACGCCAGTCTGAGCCCAAGGCACGTCTAACGTGGAGAGGGCGTTCACCGTCACTTTGCGCATCGTGGATCATCCCGGCTGGGCCTCACCCCTTCCAGAGCCTCTTTGCCTTCTTTGGCACATCTCGAGCCAATCACCTACATTGTCATTTCGAGCCGCCTTTTGACTTTTCTCTGCTTGTAAGAGGCGCCATGTGACACACAGCTGAGCTCTGGACGGCGCACTTATTGCTGTGACACCTCTGATTACTACGAAAAATCAGGGCTAGGAGACATCACAATGTTCACCTGACATGTGTGTACACAGAGTACAGATGTACGTCACCTTTCTTTTTCCTGCAACCTTTTGACCCACGGTCTGCGAAATCGACAGTGCTGAGGTGCCATTCATTCCACGGCATGTCGGTGGATTTGGTTACGCCAACGCTGCTATTTTGGAAAGATACGCAGCCGTTTGTGCCGTCGTCGCACAGAAGGACGCGCAGGGCACCTCATGCTTATCCCCATCTGCTCCTGATGCTGATTCTTCGGCGAAAGCAGTCCGCGATTGTGGGGACATGCAGTGACTGCAGTCATGCGAAGGAAATGAGTTATGGCCCGATCACCGCTTGGTCGCCACCCAAGGAGAGGGGAACCATACGGTCAACCAAGACTTGGCATTTGCCGACACAGATGACTCCTTGAAAACTGACGATATTCCCAAATATGTCCCCTAGAGCGCGCCGCTCACGTTTCAGACCAGACCGCCTGGAAACCATCCAAAAAGAGTGTGTTCATCTGCAGAGCAATGCTAGATCCGGCCGTCTGGTCAGCTAAAATGGAGTGCCAACGTGGCCTGGTCAGAGCGGGCGTCAACAAGCCTGAAACATGAAACCTTGGAAGATCTGCCTTGCATATATCTCGTTGCGGTACAAACATTTCGGCCTGGTGCTATTCCCCCTCATCCAGAGAAAGCCATCGGTCCTAGCCACGCTGCCACTCTGCAATAAGCGATGGAGATCGGCTTGTGGAAGGTCTTCTCCCGGCGCGCCGGCACCTCACTACCCTTCCTAGCTGCTCATCACGGACGACGACCCTTGCTGCTTCTGCTTGAGCCTTGTCGTGTCGTTCAAACTTGACGTCGTCAGCCGTGGCTTGTGTGACCTTTGACCGGTGGCCTTCCACGTGGACAGGGTTCCAAAGAAACAGAAACATGTTGAAAGACCAAGATGAGGCCACGACCGCCTTGTCGTCGCAACTAACACCACTCGCGATGAACTTTCGAACTCGTATCGCGGTCTACGGAACGGGACCGAGACCGAAGGAGTCGCTTGCTGCCTCCGTGTTGCTATGAAAGCTACGGGGTAACTTTCACCACTGTCCCAGCATTCCCTGCTCCTTTCCAAAGGCCCGGTTCAAAGCAGCTATTGCGCCATAGATGCCGTGCTTCACCCCTGCAGCAGATTCGAAGCATCACAGCAGCATGAACATTGCAGCTTGTGAGAGACGGGGTTTTCGCAGAGAGTCTGAGAAGGAAAGAAAAAAGTCTACTCGAAATTGAAGGGGAGTAGAGTTGCGACGAACTCCCAGCTGGGATTGGTGCGGAAACGCTAAAAAATCCAATCAGGCACGCCAGGATGCGCCACTTACCGCCAGCTTCGGACGAAGTCCATGCTCCACACAGCTCCGCCGCCACCGCCGCCCCCGCCACGGCGACCATGAGTTCCTATTTTGGCACTGTCGGCAAGTCGGCCTGTCGGGCGGGTCGCCGGTCCCCGCAAGGACGGCTATCGGCTTGGCCATCTGCCCGGCATCAACGGAGAAAGAGGAGTCTCGGGCTCCGGAAGGTTTGCGGCCTGAGCATAACGACGTCGTTCCGGGCGCATGACGCTGCGGCGCTCGTGACTCAACCGTCGTTTCGTGTTTCGCGTGTACGCGGGCTCATCGGGATGGCTGACGAGAGAGAGGTTTTGCGGACAGGACGAGTCTCTGTCTCCTAGCATTATCGTCGTCAGTCTTCCAGTGGTTCCGTCTGAGTCTCGACAGTATCCTTTCATCTCGTTCAGAGAACTTGTCATCACAAAAACGCAAAACTCATTCTGTTTCAAGTACAAGGTCTCGTGATGCCGCCATTGTGGTTGCTGACTGATTGACGTGTCGATGCTTAGCTGATGGGTGAAGCGACTTGGCCGGTGCTAGATGAGCAACACCCTGTGACGGCACGGACGCCAGACCAGCGTGAGCAATCAAACATGCCGTCATCTTATCTAGGGCCTCCTATCAAGGACCGGCGAGCTATCAGGACTGCTTCACTGGGAAGAAACACATTTCCTTGGAAATGGCGGGGCGTGACGGTGTTGTGTATGATAAGACACGGACGGCAGTCGGCCGGCTGAAGATATGAGCGGCAGTCAAGGGTGACCGCCTTTGCTAATAGTCCGATGGCCCCCTTTCGCTACTGAGACCGCTGTGATATCATCTACGTCCAATGTTGTCGCAGACATACATACGGCAGCCGAAGACTTTTGGTCTGATACAACTGGCAAGCACACCTCGCGAGACCAGAACAATCGTCGGAATTGAGCACACGCTTAAAGCGTGTTGTGCATACCAACGCAGAGTGAAAGTACCAACAAGGAGACACCCTCAACATACGCACATGACCCAAGTTGCTAATGTCAGAGCTGGATTTTCTTGAGCGACGGGACGATCCGCTGTCAGTCCTAAGGCGGCTGACCCGAAGGTGACAACTTTTTGAGCTGTGTCTCGTCCATGGTGAGTTTACTGTCATGGAGCGGCTACCACGACGGCAAACTTGCCATCGCAGTATATCCAAAAAAAAAAAAAAAAAAAAAAAAAGAGTATGGCTGACCACGGCTGCTCAACAGGTAAACCAAATCGTCGACTCCAAGACGGCGAGTTGGCAAAGGTCGCAAATGTCTTAGTCGTGCCGGGCCCGGCATTTGCTCATCGGCGAGTGGAGCATCTTCCCCATGCCCCGCGGGAGCAACCCCTCCCCCTTCTAGCCAGAAAAAAAAAAGCCCAATCCACCACTCAACCTCCGATATCGACGACGACCACCACCACCACGACGTCTAAAATTCTGACAGCCCCGTTCGTCGTCGACTTTGCGCCCCCAGCAATTGTAGGACACGCGCAGATCAGTAATTGAATTCGGCTTCGTATTCGAGATAGTACAAGAAAGCCGTCTTTTGTGTTCTGAAGCAATCGACCGCGCCAAGGTGCGACCCCGACGCAGCTACCCGGAATCCGGAAATAAAGGGCCCCTCCTCCTGCTCCTCCTCCTCATCATCATCCTCGTCCGCCGACTTCCACGGCCACGCAGACGACTTCTGTGCGTGTGTGTCTAAGCATTCTCGGACGAACAATCATCCACGGCTCATCGCACTGCTCAATTTTGAAAGCCTCCTCCAAATCTACGCTCACGAGCTTTGATCCGCCCTTCATCGAGACTTTTTCGTCACATCACGATCCAACCATGAGTGACAAGTCTCAGGTTTCGGCGGAGGCTGCAGGCGGAGAAGTCAAGCCTCTGGTGGGCTTCTTGGGCCCCCAGGCCTCGTACACGCACCAGGTAGGTACCACGAATCTGAAGAAAAGAAATCACACCTCGCACGGCATATGCCAAGTGTGGTGGGACTTGTCAATCATCTCTAACTTTATGCATCGCAGGCTTCGTTACAGGCCTTCCCAGAAGATGAATGGGATCTGAGACCCGTTGTCAACATCACAGGCACGTAACTCACCACCCTTTTTCTTCATTATGTCGTCTCTGCTGTTCTTGGCACCCACCCCCTTTTCTCATTCTCTCTATTTTTCGTTCCTGCGCCGTGGCGTGTGCTACCTCCCGTCTGACTTGAATCGGAACGTCCATCAGACATCTTCGAGGTCGTACAAGCCGGCGAGGTCGCTTTTGGCGTCGTTCCCGTCGAGAACTCAACCAATGGGTCCGTCCTGTTCACGCTGGACAACTTTGCCGACCGCAACGGCTTGTACCCAGACATTTCGGTCTGCGGCGAGATCTACCTCGACGTGCACCACTTTCTCGTCGGCCGCCGTCCGGACCCGGCTCACGACGCCGCCGCCGGTCCGGGACTACGAGGAGGAGACGAAGGCTCCGGCGCCTGCACGCCGACGGCGTCGGACCCGAACCCGCTGAAGCCGCGGACGAAGCCGCTGTGTAGCCTCAAGCACGTCCGGCGCCTGTACTCGCACCCGCAGGCGTGGGGCCAGTGCGTCGCCTTCTTGCAGACGTATCTCAAGGGCATCGAGGCCATCGACGTTAGCTCGACGAGTCGCGCGGCGGAGCTGGTCAGCCTGGACGAGACGGGGACGAGCGCCGCCATCTCGAGCGAGATCGCGGCGGGTATGCACGGCATCGACGTGCTCGCGCGGACGATCGAGGATCGCGAGGACAACACGACGCGATTCTTCATCATCCGAAAGGGGCTGGACGAGAAGCAAAGGATGCCAGGCCACTGCGTGAAACCAAAGACGAAGACAAAGTCCATGGTGTCGTTCACGGTCCCGCACGAGGCTCCCGGCGCGCTGGCGGACGTGTTGGAGTGTTTCCGGCGCTACGGGACGAATCTCACGAGCATCAACAGCCGGCCGAGCCTGACGGCGCCGTTCAACTATGTCTTCTTCGTCGAGTTTGAGGGGCACCGGTTCCGGGATCCGGAGGGGAGGGTCAAGGGGGCGCTGGACGGGGTGGCTCGGGTGGCGGAGAGATGGCGGTGGCTTGGGAGCTGGGAGGACCAGCGGTCGTGAGAGGGGGAGGGACTGGCTGGTGGTCTTCCCCTCCCTTCCTCGTGACTTGGCTTGCGGTCTCTCTCTCTTTCACTCTCTGTCTCTCTGTCTGGCTTCTAGGCCCTGGACTATTCCCCTTGCCTGATTCAGCTTCGGCAACTCTGTGGATGTCGGCGTTGGCGACGGCCGTCTCTGGCGACTGCCGATGATCCCTGAGCAAAACGTTGACATGGCACGCGGGACATGCTTCGAGGCTACATCTGGTCTACATGCCAAATACTGAGAGGTTTTGCGGTACTGCGGCCTACAAAGGGCCACGAAAGGGGAAACGGGGCGAGTGGGCGGGCACGCCATGCTATTGCTGGGAACACACAAGGGGAGTCTATTGGACGGAACAGGCCTGGACTGGCTGACGACATCGCAACTAATGTCGATTCGAGATAAGGAGGTGCATTGTGAGGGCTGGAACCAGGTCACCAGGACCCTCCAGGAGCGTGGGAGCGTGGGATGACTGAACTGTCCCTTTCTTCGGTCCCCTTAGCCATTGTGTAATGGAAACGCAGCAAAGTGCCACCGCGGAACGAAAAAAGTCTTCTCGTCGTTCGTCCTTCTGAGGCGTTTACCTCCTGTTTTTGCCTCTTCAACCCTGGTTATATGCTGAGTCGACTCATGGATACATTGGAATGGTCTGAAAATGCCTCTTCCGACCCTGGCTCTGTGATGGAGCGATGGATACCTGGGAAGGTCTAAGATGAGCCTTTGATGGCCGAGTCTTCACGCCGAGCTGGTGGCGTTGTGAGACCTGGTTTATGGTTCAATCGTGACAAGAGGAAAAAGGGGGCCGGCAACGATGACGAGAAGGACCCTCCTATTGTCCATGGTTACGGATGAGTTGTCATATGCAGAGCTTTTCCAACCCACGCAAGAGTTGGTGAAGGAGAAAAGCGACGGATCAATCGCTTCAGCTCGAGCTACATGTGATGGTCTTGAGAGAGCGTTGAGAGCGTGGAAGAGACGACCAGAGGGCTGGTCGCGTGCCCTATGTCCGAATGTCTCACAACGCCAGTCCGGCTACATTCATGGCTACGGCCACACACGCACCCTCCCAAAAGGTCAGCCAACAAGATGAGCAGATTTGCCAAGCAAGCCTGATTATCTATCGTCTGGGTCCTTCTTACAATGTGTTAGCTGTCGTGAAGGATCGAGACCAAGGAGTAGAGCAAAAGTTAGTTTCGCGAAGCTCTGTACTGGGTGTGGAAGGGGTCGAGAAGCTCTTGCAACTGTTTAGCGTGGCGCGGAAGGGGGTGACCTGGGAGTTGTCGGGGTTGCCAGAAGCTCTAGGAAGCTCTGCGAAGCTCTTGCAACTTGTTGAGGTGCACCTGCTCTGTCTGCCATGCACTTGCACACTCACACACACACACACAGAGCTGAACCCCTCTTTCCTGTCTAGTTTGACTTTCCCCCCTCCTCCCTCAACGGACCGGTCCATGTCCGTTTCCTGTTGGATGTCTTTTTTCTTGTGTGGTCTTTGCCTTTTTTTCTGCCCGTCCGCCGTTCGGTGAGATTCTGGTGGTGGATCGGCAACTCCACGTCCATTACGTCCAAATTACATGGACAAGACGTGCTGAAATCGCAGCACTTGCAGGACCCCTGGTTGATATGGTCTGTTGTTGAATGGCGACCAAAGTTTGGTCCTGGATCTGGGCTGTTTCCTCTCTGAATACTTACCTCTTCTCATTTCTCTTGTTGGCTCTGTTTTCTCATCCGACTCCTCATACCCAGATGCCGAGTATCTGCCGTCGCAGTCACAAAAGGGCCAGGCCGAGGTTTTTCGACATGTCGCCAGATGGAGCTCAGCTGGAGCACAATGATGCTCGTCGCTGGATCCCGCGCCAGATGGGCCCACACGACGACACACGTTCCGCCGCGGAACGTCTCCATTTGCCCTGCTTTTTTCTGGGGTCTCTTTCTTCTCTTTGAGTTGGTGACTTTCCTAACGGGACCCATTCGGGAACTTCCCTGGGGGCCTTGATGCCATGGCCGAGTGAAAACTTGCGTAAGAAAAGTACCCACGCTATGCAAGTGTCCAGATTCCCGCAAAATACCCTTTTTTTTTTTCCTCGCGTCTCTTGCGTCTGCCATATTGTGTACTGTACCTATTTGCATGCTGCTTGCTGCACGCAAAAACACAGAGTTTTTTTTTTTTTTTCCCAGCTTGTCCCATCCGACAAAAGCGGGCTTGCAACACTCGGCAGACTTTTAGTGCTGCTGGGGGCGCAGAGGCGCCTGTGTTGCAATTGGTGTGTGCCGGATCAATTCCTTGTGCTATGACGTGTAGTGCGCGTAGTAAGACAAGGTTCGCACCGCGAGGAAGGATGGGAAAAAAGAATACACTGGCGCCTTCCCCATCCGAAGAATACCTCATTGCTCAGTCAGTAGAAAGGTGTGAGGAAGTATCCAAAGGCAAAGGTATCCGTACGCGGTAGGGCAAGTACCGGAGCTGAACCGTCTGGTCTCTGGACGAGGTATCTTTGGTGTGTTTTCTGTCCGATTTTTACACTGCTTTCCGCCCGTGAACGTGGATGAGAGAGTACTTTCGTCTTACCCGACTTATACTTGCCCATCTACTTGTTGGTGTTCCCTCTTCTCCCACAATTCAAATGTCCCGAGTTGCAGCAAGGCTCAACCCAAGTGGGTGAAGTGTGGACATGGCCACACACATCCTTTCGGTACCAAGTACCGTACCCTCTCTTCCTGTTCGGCTGTTCCCTACCACCACTCCATCTTCTTTGCTCTCTTCCTCGCTCTCATCCCGTCTGAAGGGAGGGGTGGGCTCACCGGGCACCGTGCTGGCCCATGGTCCAGACGCAACAAGTACGCAGTTAGTAACTCTACGTACCTTTTTTTTGTCGTCTGGTCCGACGGCTGTCGGTCCAAGGCAGTCGGACCTGGACATGAGAGGCGTAGACAGTAGGAAAAGTGGTAGTGAATAGGCAAAGGAACGGCAGCGGCGCGAGGGATCGAGTGAGGAGCGGTTGCCGTTGCCGTGGACTGGACCGTAGAAGCGGGAGTTGCAGAGCTTCTGGGAAAGCTGAACCATGAAGGGGGGAAGAAGGACCAAACGATTTATAACCAGCTTCTCCCTCTCCCTCTCCCTCCTCGTCCCTCTTCGATTTCGCCATCGATACCTTGTTATTTCGACATTCACGATCCCCTACATCCAACATTTTTGTTGTTTAGACATCGCGACAAGAGCTTCTCACAACCAGGTGCCAATTAAGACACCAAGAAGCTCTGCAACTTTGGTTCCTTGCCTACCCGTTACCCGTTCACCCCTTGCCGGATTCCATCATCCGTCTTCCCCGTTGGCGGTTGTTCCAAAATCCAGCAAATCCCATAGGATAATTCCCCATCTTTGCTGCTGAGGTGCTTCATCATGGCCATCACGCCTTCGAAGCCAATCTTCTGCGCGACCCACCCCAGGGCCTGCTCTACAGCCTTTGAGAGAGTGAGATTTCCCAATCCCATAACGCCTGTTGGCTTGCTTCTGGCACTGCTCGTTCCTCCCTGCGTGTCTGCTCTGGGACACGAGCGAGCACGCAATCCCGCCGGACCCCAAAAACGGACAAGGTTCAGGGTGCCTGAATCGTTCCTTTTGGGGGGAAGAGAGACGGCCTGGCGGGAAGAGAGAGAGAGGGGAGGAACCTGTGGTGTTGAGCGAATTACCACGGCTTCATTCGTTCTGCTTGTGCACCGAAACCACCATCAGCTCGCTGCTGGGGTTACTTCTGCACAGCGAGCGCCATGTGAAGAAGAGCAGGATTAGCTAACATGGCGATTTCTCATCATTCTAGGTGTTTATGAGCCGCCGGGACAAGCTGGCGTGTGTACATGAGCCTTTTGGCGATGCGTTCTATTATGGCCCTGAGCGGACTGGTGAGCGTTTTGAGAACGACGCTGAGGGCAGAGAGAAGTCTGGCTTCGCCGAGACGACGTATGCCGATGTTCTGAGGCAAATCGAGGAGGCCGGCAAAGATGTATGTTTTTTCCTCTCCCCCTGATTCCCTTTTCCCCTCCAAAGACATATTTGCCCCTCATTATGAGGTCGTCGTCTTTCCGATCGCGATCTCACCCGCACACCCCTCCACACTATTCCCGCCCATGCATTCCCCTATAGTACGCTACTCCCCCAACCCCTGGCAAATTGAGTTGCAGAGCTTCTACGACCCCCAGTCATAACCACCGTCAATTCCAAACTTGCCCTTCCACGCCCGAAAATGATTCAATTTTCGGTCGGAGGTGCTCTTTGAAGCTTCAAACAGAGCTTCTCGAAACTCTGGATTGATTTCGATTGAAGCGGCGTTTGATGGCTGGGGGTGCTGGCGTGCGTGCACCCGGGGAAGCTTTACAACGCAGCCGCCACAATGTCGCGCATCGCCGCTCAGCGTTCCCTGGTACCCTTGCGGAGCTTTTAGAGTCGCGACCAACGTCGCATTCCACCTATTGCTCAACACCACCACCACAGAACTATGATGATGCTATATCCCAATTGCCCAGATCACTAACACCCAACCACAGAAGCGCGCCTTCATCAAGGACATGGCTTACTACATCATCCCGCCCAACCAGCAAAAAGCCTCCATTGTCCCGTCCGCCGGCAACACGGCCGAGCCCACCAACCCCACCGTCCTGCCCTTGAGCATCCTCCGCAAGTTCCAGTGGACGTTCCTGATCCGCCACCCGCGCCGCTCCATCCCCTCGTACTACCGCTGCACCCAGCCGCCCCTGGACGCCGTGACGGGCTGGACAAACTTCAACCCGTCCGAGGCCGGTTACGAAGAGCTCCGCCGTCTCTTTGATTACCTCATTCGCGAGCGCATCGTAGACGAGAAGGACTTGTTGGTCGTCGACGCTGATGACATGCTTGACGACCCCGAGGCCGTCATCCGCGCCTACTGTGCCCACGTTGGCCTCGACTTCACCGACAACATGCTTAACTGGACCGATGAGGATACCAAGGTCGCCCAGGAGAAGTTTGCAAAGTGGAACGGCTGGCACGATGATGCCATTGGCAGCACGTCGCTCAAGCCGCGCGACAAGAAGCATGTAAGTCACCCCTAACCCCTACCCCTGATCGGCTGGTGCTTTACTGTTGTTCTGTACCCCCTCCCAAACGAAAATTATTCCCCAGAAAGAGATTGGATACAAAAAAAAGGACCTGCCCGTTTGCTTGGGCGCTTTTGAAATCACTTCCTTGAAACTCGCTGGATATTTTTTTGACCTTTGGTGTGGCGGACGAACACACACTAGACACTAGTGTGGGGTATATTTCGCAGCATGCTAATTCCCCGCGAGAAAAAGGTTATCACCCGTGAGTCCGAAGAGGCTGAATGGCTCAAGAAGTACGGCGAGAAGGGTCTCAAGGAGATCCGCGAGTGCGTCGATGCCAACGTCAAGGATTACGAGTACCTCAAGAAGTTTGCCATCCAGATCTGATTTCACCGTATACGTTTAAGTACGGGTACGGCTAGTTGTACACGTACGGACACACAACGTACACTTTTAACGAAGTTGATGACCAAGAACGCCCACCAACCAAGGGGTGGAATTTATACATGCATGTTTTTATTATAAAAACGGGAAATCGGGTTTCTTTTTTTTTCTTGAACGGAACAGTTCGATATAGGGATTTAGGGAAACCTTGGGAGGTTTTTCTATCAGGGACCTTGAAATCGGTCCATCATGGGTTCAATGTAACCGTATTGATACAATAGTCTACATGGCAGTGCCAATAACCAGCCACTTCTAACAGGACTGCGTATATGACTTGCAAAGTCTTTTCTTCTTTAATGAACGAAAAACCATGCCATCGCACAATGCCTACTCCACGTCCATTTTTCTTGATGTACACATTTTCCCCGTATTGTGACAAAAAAGGTCTCGGCCAAAAATCTTACACGACAGTGCTGCTGCTTGCTCTCGTTCCCCTAGCTCTCGCCCCATACATAGACCTTCATATCTATGCCTTGGTATCAGCCTTGGCGTCAGCCTTGCTGTCTTTCTCGTCCTTGCTCTCCTCCTTGCCCTCCTCCGCCACAGGCTCCTTGATGCTGTAGTTGGTATCGTCCCCAGCGGCCTGCACAGGCTCCGCGGCCGCCTTGGGCGCCTCCACCTCGGCGACAACCTCCTCCTCGGGGTCGAACTGGTTCTCCTCCAAGAGCGCCTTGGCGTCCTGGAACAGGTCGTGCGTGACGTTGCCGGACCACTCCTGCGCAAAGTTGCGGTCGTCCTCGTTGGCCCAGTATATCGTCGCGGGCAGCAGCTCGTCGACGGCCGGCGCCTTGGTGGCGCCCTCTTGCACCTCGCCCTCTCCTTGGCCAGACTGGCTGACAATTTCCGTCTTGGCCGGCGGCGCCTTGGACCACTTGCGGCCCTCCAGCGCCTTGCCCTCCTCGAGCACGGCCTTCTTCTCGCGGCTGCTGACGACGAGGCGGTTGCCGCGGCCGAAGCCGGCGAGGACGGCGGCCATGTCGGCGATGGAGTTTGCGCGCTGGTCGTTGAGGGCTAGGGAGCGCTCGTGGCGGTTGCGGACGATTCTGCGGACGCGGACGAGGTCCTCGGGGGCGGGCTTCGTATCCTCGGCGGCGGGGGCGTCGGCGTCTTCCGTCTCGCCGGCGACGGAGTATTTGACGTCGTCTACGGCACCAGCGGCGGCGGCGGCGGCTCTGTCCTTCTTGACGCCCCACGGCTTGATGGCCTTTGGCTTGAGGAGCTCGGTGCGCTTCTCCCTGTAGAGGAGGTCGTCCTCCCAGGCGAGCTCGTGCATGCGGCGGAACTCGCGGAGCTTCTGGAAGACGGACTGGCCTGCTGCGCCGGCGCCGGCGGGGAGCTGGATGAGGGCCATGGGGGCCCAGTAGTCGCGGCGGAGTTTTGCGGGTTTGGACTTTTTGCCGTTGAAGGGGAGTTGCTTGAGGGCTCGGTGGGACTATGTAGGTTTGGTGATGTTAGCTGAGCTTCTTCTTCTTCTTTCAACTTGGTCCAAGAGAGATCTGCCATTGGCTGCCCCAATTGGCTAGCAACAAGGCCTCCAAAACGTACCTCGAGCTGCTTTGTGTGCGAGTAGATGACCTGGTTCGAGGTCAGGTGGCTCCAGACCCAAATCTGCTCGCCGTGGCCCGGCTCAAAGTTGGTGAGCTCATGCTGGGGCGTCCTGCGTCGCGACCGCGTGTGGCCATGCCGTATACTCGTCCGGGCGACGCCAAAGGACAGTTTTGAGAAGCGAAATACCGGGACCGAGTTCATCGTTGCTAGCTTTGCGGCCGATCGGTCGATGAGGACGTATCGTTTCGTTTCGTTCGTTCGTCGTCGTCGTCGGCAACCCCCTAAACTTCTCGGGACGGGCAGCTTGACAAAATTTCCCGAAGCTCTGGAACCTGTTCCCCCAGGCCCGCGCCGGTAGTGTGGCTGATCTGTGGCTTGACGCTGAAGGTCACATGATTCGAGTGTTACCAGCCACATCGGACAGAACGTTCCTTGGCGACCTTATCGATAATCTTGATAAGGTGATTGTGATAGCAGGTCCGTGCGCTCAGAGCGAACCCCGCGGTTTGGGCTCGGTCGGTGCTCAGATTCTAGTGACGTCGCGCGACTTCTACCAGGTTCTGGTCGCTGCCCTACGACTTCCCGGCCTTGCCAGCGCATGCTGGATCAGTCCATCCTCTTGGCCCACTTCCAGGTTTACGGTCTGGATGAACCTCACTTTGCAAGCATAAATTCAACATTGCAATCAAACTTCAACTGGCTTCTCTTCTCAAGTCACCAAGCTAATTCTTGCACATATTGAGATACCCCGTTGAATGATAGACTCTTCAACTTGAAGCCATTCAGAGCTTCCTTCAACAACCATACCTCACGTATCACCACTCTTAATTACCCACCACTCAACCTCACAAGACAAACCACGCAACCACACACAATCGCTACCACAACTACACTACCAACATGAATTCACGAATGGAATTCACCGACAGAGGCGAGAAGGCCGTGCAGGATGCCATGGCCCTCGCGGAGCAGTACGCCCACTCCCAGCTGCTCCCCGTCCACCTCGCCGTCTCCCTCCTCGATCCCCCGGCAGACCTCTCAAAGGACCAACAAAACGGCCCGCCGCAGACGTCCTCCATGTTCCGACAAGTCATTGAGCGCGCCCACGGCGACCCGCAACTCTTTGACCGGGCACTCAAGAAGACGCTCGTCCGCCTGCCGAGCCAAGACCCGCCACCGGACCAGGTCTCCGTCGCACCCACATTCCACGCCGTCCTCCGCAAGGCGCAAGAGCTGCAAAAGACGCAAAAGGACTCCTTCATCGCCGTCGACCACCTCATTCAGGCCCTCGCCGAGGACCACACAATACAAGCCTGCCTGCGGGACTCCAACATCCCCAAGGCGAAGCTGGTGCACGATGCTGTCACCCAGATCCGCGGCACGAAGCGGGTGGACAGCAAGAACGCCGACACCGAGGAGGAGCACGAGAACCTCGCCAAATTCACCATTGATATGACGGCCCTGGCCCGTGAGAAGCAACAAGACCCGGTCATTGGCCGTGAGGAGGAGATCCGCAGAGTCGTGCGGATCTTGTCCCGCCGTACCAAGAACAACCCGGTCCTCATCGGTGAGCCCGGTGTCGGTAAGACTACCGTCGTCGAGGGTCTCGCCCAGAGAATTGTTAACCGCGATGTTCCCGACAACCTCAAGGCGTGTAAGCTGCTGTCGCTCGACGTCGGCGCCTTGGTGGCCGGAAGCAAGTACCGCGGAGAGTTTGAGGAGAGAATGAAGGGCGTCCTGAAGGAGATTCAGGAGTCAAAGGAGATGATTGTCCTCTTCGTCGACGAAATCCACTTGCTCATGGGTGCTGGCTCTTCAGGCGAGGGTGGCATGGACGCCGCCAACTTGCTGAAGCCCATGCTCGCCCGTGGTCAGCTGCACTGCATCGGTGCGACGACCCTCGCTGAGTACCGCAAGTACGTTGAGAAGGACGCCGCGTTCGAGCGTCGATTCCAACAGGTTCTCGTCAAGGAGCCTTCCATTGCCGAGACCATTTCCATTCTCCGTGGTCTCAAGGAGCGGTACGACAGACATCACCGCGTTACCATCCTCGACAACGCCTTGGTAGCGTCTGCCAACCTCGCCGGCCGCTACCTTACGTCGAGAAGGCTTCCCGATTCTGCCATTGACCTGGTCGATGAGGCTGCTGCTGCAGTTCGCGTCGCCAGGGAGTCGCAACCCGAAATTATTGATTCTCTCGAGCGCAAGCTCCGTCAAATCATGATTGAGATTGCCGCTCTCGAGAAGGAGAAGGATGAGGCGTCCCAGACTCGTCTCGTCCAAGCAAAGAAGGATGCCAAGAACGTAGAGGAGGAGTTGGAGCCTCTTCGCCAGAAGTACCTCAGTGAGATCAAGAGAGGCGAGGAGATTCACTTGGCCAAGACGAAGCTCGACGAACTCGAGAAGCGTCTTGAGGATGCTGCCAACGCCGGCAACCACGCCAAGGCCGCCGACCTCCAGTACGGCGCCATCCCCGAGCAGCGCGCCGTCATCAAGGAACTCGAGGCCAAGAAGGCCGCTGCCGACGCCGCTCTCAACGCATCAGGCCAGGACCACGGCGCCATGGTCACTGACGTTGTCACCGCCGATCACATCAACGAGATTGTGGCCCGCTGGACCGGCATTCCCGTCACTCGCCTTAAGACCAGCGAGAAGGAGAAGCTCGTCCTCATGGAGAAGCAACTCGGCAAGATCGTCGTTGGTCAGAAGGAGGCTGTCCAGGCCGTCGCCAACGCCATCCGCCTGCAGCGGTCTGGTCTCAGTAACCCCAACCAGCCGCCCAGCTTCCTGTTCTGCGGTCCGTCCGGTACCGGTAAGACTCTCCTGACCAAGGCGCTCGCCGAGTTCCTCTTCGACGACTCCAAGGCCATGATCCGCTTCGATATGTCCGAGTACCAGGAGCGCCACGCCCTTAGCAGAATGATTGGTGCTCCCCCGGGATACGTCGGACACGACGCCGGTGGTCAGCTCACCGAAGCTCTCCGCCGCAAGCCCTTCTCCATCCTCCTCTTCGACGAGGTCGAGAAGGCTGCCAAGGAGGTCTTGACCGTTCTGCTCCAGCTCATGGACGACGGCCGTATCACCGACGGGCAAGGCCGTGTCGTCGACGCCAAGAACTGCATCGTCGTCATGACCTCCAACTTAGGTGCCGAGTACCTCACAAAGTCCACCAACCGTGAGGGCAAGGTCGACGCTACCACTCGCGAGCTCGTCATGAACGCCCTCCGCAACTGGTTCCTGCCCGAGTTCCTCAACCGCATCAACTCGACTGTTATCTTCAACCGCCTCACCCGCCGCGAGATCCGCAAGATCGTCGACATCCGCCTGCAGGAGATCCAGAAGCGGCTGGAGGGTAACGGCCGCAAGGTATACATTGACGTCTCGGAGGAGGCCAAGGATTACCTCGGCAACGCTGGCTACTCGCCCGCCTACGGTGCTCGTCCACTGTCTCGCTTGATTGAGAAGGAGGTCCTCAACAAGCTGGCCATCCTCATCCTTCGTGGCAACATTCGCGATGGCGAGAACGCCCGTGTCGAGCTCATCAATGGCAAGATGGTGGTGCTGCCTAACCACCAGGACAGCGAGCTCGATACCGATGACGAGGACATGGATGAGGAGGATGCCGTTGACGAGCTTGTTGCTGATGAGATGGATGAGGACATTTACGACTAAAGCGAATCAAGAACAACAGAATGAAAGTCAGAAGACACAAGGAGATGATTCACGAAAGCATGATTATTAAGATTGATGGGGTCTTTTTTTCAGTGTAGAGATATAAACTCTAGAGAGAGAGAGCATCAGGCGTTTAGGGATTAAAATGGTTCAAGCATTGTAGGATTTTCTTTTTTATAGGAGTTGTAAATAGGTTATAGAACTATAAAAGTTCAATGAAAACAACGTACACAATATTTAAATGTGTCAAAAAGTGAACATTTCCAGTGATATGAACACCGTGGTAGTTGACGCAATAGTGGTTGGGAATTTGATTGAGAGACATACAACTCAACCGGTTTGAAATTTGTCAATACACGTTAAGTACCAGGAGACAGACCACGAAAATACGGGAGGCTAGCTTGTAAACGGGTTATAGGACTCCAAAAAAAAAACAATCTCAATGGAAGGTGTTGCGATAATTCCTCTAGCCTAACACAATACATCGCGAGACAAAAAAGCTTCTCCTTCGTTTATTCCCCCTTCCACGTTCCATTCCTTATCACCAGCAACACCAGGCGCCCCTCTATACGCAGTTCAGTACATTGTGGGCCAGGGAGGCGGTAGAATGGTACAAAGGTCAGCAATCGACGAACGTACAGCTCGCAGCCTTACTTGATGACATACATACATGACTACACCGAGCTCGAGATTCGCAGTCCCCGGCATGAGAGCACCGATCTAAGCGCCAAGATATATAGCCTACCGAGGTGAGCATCTTTTTCATCTTCCATCCATTCAACCCGAAAGAGTGCGTTCGACGTGCGTCAAGATATGTAGTTGAATAGTACCCAAGGCTGGGTTATAGTACCGCGAAACCCAATGAGATATAATCGAAACGAACATGTCTGGGAAGCAAACACAGCAATGTCCTAGAGACTCGATCTCAACCAAAGTTGGAAGGTGCTTGTGATAGTACGCACTCACCACAGGAGATTGACGCCATATGAGATGTGACCTTCTGGTAAAGACACGCAACGGCAAGAGGATATAATTCTGGCAACAAATTTAGCACATTCACAAAAGAATTTGTGCAATGGCGAGAATGATCCGGGAACCGCGCATATCAGACAAGTCTTGGCTTTCTCTGGCGAAGGCAGCAGAGGGGCTTCATCGTGAATTATCCCCATCGAGATATACATTCTGCACCACTGAAATTGTGGCATACTAGCTGATAAGTTGACCTGCGTCCTCAAAAGAGAATGCCATGGGAGTATCTGATATCCTAGATCGTGGAAACAAATCCTGTTTAACATTAGATTGGCATACCACCTACCTGACTGACGAATGACGTCGGAGCTACCTGAATGGCCGCCGAGGCAATGTGAGCCGAGCGTCGAGTACCAGCGCCCGGCATGCCAAGCGGTCACGATATCTATGTGTTTGTCCTGCCCAATTCCCATCACACCTCACATGCAGCGTCCGTGACAGACGCATGCCCGGGGAGCCCCGTGGCTATTTCCAGCGGGTGTCGGGGACGGCTCACTCGATGCCAAGCAGACCTACCAAGGTTATAATAACGCCCACGTAGCTATCCACGCCAGGTAGCTATTGGCGCCATATAGCTATTCAGAGCGCCACCGTCGTTTCGACAATCTGGGCATACCGATATTTTGGAAATGATCCAGGTCTCTGGGCTGGTCGATATATCACCCTATCTCGGGGTAGTGTTTCAACCCCCCTTCATTGCATCAACTTGGATTTGTTCTGCTGATCAGCGAGCGCATGCCCCTCTTCCTGCTCCAAGAACTCGCATGGTCGCATGGAAAACACGCCTTGTTTGGTTTAGTTTTCTCATGGCTGGGATGGAGAACGGTTCTGCCCAGTCGACGCCTTGCCTACGCGGGTACGACGGTTTTGTGGCCTTGAATTTTTTGACGACTGGAGCTTTTTCGCGAGATCTGCGAAACTAGTCGCGGGGGAGGGATAATGGATGAGGTCGGGGCCAAGATAAGATGCTATTTTTACCCGAGAGAACCCCGGTGATCGCCCTGGTCGGAGAAGGGGGGACCCACGATGGGGAAGTTTAGCCTCCGTTTTGCCCCCTCTCTGAGCCTCACGAAAGCAAGCCTGGGGTCAGGAATTGACTGTGGCGGGCACCCTCCCCGAACCTGGGACCGCGGTGCATGAGTTGATAGATTGCTTAGCCAAGTACCGAAGCCACCGCGCCTTTCTGTCTCGTTGCACAGCGGGCCAGGATGAGCTTGGAGCCGAGACTGGTCCTCGTGGTTGTGAAGAGAAAGAGGGCCGCATCGGCGGTGCGGGCAACGAGCTGCGAGTGACGGCCGACCGATCATGCCGTAGGCGGTAATGCATTGAGGCTGCGCGGCGGAACGCGTCACTCGCACAACGGACGTGGCGGAAGAGGGCTCTGGCGCCAGTTTCGGCGGAGGCCGCGGAGTAAGTTGAGGCTGGAAACTTGGAAAGGTCCGTGTCGTGTTGCACATGTATAGGTCAAGTAGGTCGGGCACTTTCATCCTGAATCTGGGACGAAAGCGAGAGAGGGACGATGTCCGATGTTCGCTGAGTAGAGACCACAGAGCGTACATGAACGAGGAGAAGGGCCTCCTTGTCACTCAAACCAAAGGCGGAAAGCCTCGACACAGGATTGGGTGGGGTCCAGGACGGGAAAGTGCCAGTAAAACGGGCTGGTGCAGATGGAGGACGGGCACACTCTCATCGGCCAGATTCAAGGGGCAGCGGCTGGTGTGTGTAAGGTAGGTAGGTATTCGTATCTTGGTTGATGACCGATCCAAGTCAAGAGCTGCGATGGCAGGTGTCTCTCGTCAAATCAAGAGGTCTGGATGTGAACGGGACGGCAGGACGGAAGCTTGGCCAATGGACCCCAAAGGATTTGTCTTGGGATGGAAGACAAGCCATCGTTCAACCCTTGAACGTTTGATAACGGTTGATTCAGTGTGTAGTAGCGCAGCATGCGCAGATTGAGCGTTTTTCTTTTTTCCGACACGAGACCTTGCCAGCATCCAAGTTGTGCCTTTGGAGTGTCTTTTCCCAAAGCAGAGGATCAGCTCGTCCCCGGGCCTAATCGGGCGAGCATGCGGGCGGCTGTCGGCTCAGGAGCCAGGGACGATACCTGGCCATATTAGGACACTGCACACCAGCTCTGTTGGGGGTCTGTAGTCGTAAGGATAGAGGCTATCCAAGTGCCCACGACATTCGTCCGTAGTCGTGTAGATAGCCACCATTCGAACATCCAACAGCAATGCCCGTAGCCCACAGCGAAATACGAGGGAATGCATTGGAAGGGGGTTGCGTCGTAGCGGGAGCCGTTGGCGGCAGATCGTGGCGTGGGGCGTGTGCATGGTCGTCTGTAGGTAGCGAGCGTTGCAAGGGTAAGCAAGACTAAAGCCATGTTTCAGAATTTTTAGCAGATCCTCTGACAAGCGTGGTCCGAGGTTGTCATTGGAGGAGGATCAGGGGGCGACGAGCTGGAGCATAAATGACCAGCATCTCCATCACGCCTTTGCAGTGTTGCACCTGGCGGCCCTTGGTGAAGCTGGGCCTTGGCCTGTCGATGTCAATGGCCCCATTGGGTAGCACGTCGCAAGCTTTGCTGTCTGTCTGTTGGTGGTCACCTCCCCCCTTTTATTTTGCAAGTGAAAGTATCTTTTGCTGCACCGATGATTCGACAAAGTACCGCGGGCAAGGTTCGAGTCAGGTAGCGACGTGGTGTTGTAATGCTGAACGCAGAGTGTGCGTCAACTTGACTTGATGCTCAAGAATTATCAAGCGATGTTGGAAGCCGAGGCATAGGAAAATAGCCGTTTTGTTCCTTATCATATTCGCGGACGACCACGGACTTATTGGAGGTATCCAAAGCTGTGGTTCGCGATGGCGGAGGGCAACCCCTGAACGAGCCTGAGAGGACACACTGCCGCTTGGACTGGCTTGATGGACGGCGTGCCTTGAACACCAGCCGGGGGTATTGGTGGCTTGTGTCAATTTAACCGTGACAGCAAGTCAGGCAGTCTGTCATTACTGCACAGGCAATTGCCAACCATAGTCAAAGTCTTGCTTGACAATGTTGGGCGGTGGCGTTCAAAGTTGAGCGAAGTTGATTGAGTTTCGTCATGGTAATTCAGCGATAAAGTGCTCACTCCTTGAGTGACAGTATCAAGATGCGAATTCGGTATTGACACAGCCTGCGACTAGAGCGCGGGCAATTGTGTTACCACGGGGTCTCACTGTCCCCGTCACTCTTGGTCTTGAAGGCTTCTTGAAGCCGCAGTTCCCGAAAGAGTCGACGGACTGACACGGCCGCCTAGACACCAAGATGTCGCGGCTATATGACATGGGCTCGCCTGGAGCGGGCAACTAGTTTGGTGGCCGGCAAGGTTCTGCAGTGTGTACTGCAACTCTGAGCTCTCAAGGCAACATCAGGAGCTGGACATGTTCCTCCGAGGGAATAGTGTAGCGTGAGCGTAGTGTAGTGGCTTGACCGTGCAGTGCGGGTGGTTTGCGATTGTGAATCGGATCGAGACTGTCAAGTCAGTTGGACTCCCAACTGCAGTTGACGACAGGCCATATCCCTATACTCAAATCAGTGGGGAGCCAGTCGGCTGCTCAACTTGGGTGGAAGATGAGGCGAAGTTGTGTGCGTGCTGGATGTGGATTTTTGTGCCAGCATGTAGTATGCAATTTAGAAGGGTCAGTATCCCAGCGGGCAAGGAGGGATGTCACATCTAATGACAGTCTGAAGGCTTTACTTGACGGTGGCCCCATCGCTTCGGATAAGGGGTACGATCGGGGAGATGGAATGGGCGTATTGTTGATGGAGGGAGTGTCGATGGAAGTTCCTGGCAGAGAGGTTGGTTCCATGGGTAGTATCGCATCGCCGCCGGCATCTCTTGTAGCTGAAATGCTCAATCCAGCTCGGAAGGGACGACAATAGTAGGCCAAATAAGAGCCGGGGTTCTCTTTTCTCCTGGCCGTAAGGCTGCCGGGCACGGCGTCGACGAGGAGCCCCAATCTGTCTAGGCTTCGTACGACGCTTCAAACGTAGGGGAAGGTATTCCTTAGGTAGACAATGCCAACGATATTGTGCGAAGAGTGTAGGCGTGTCCACGTAACCACCCGAGGAGCAGACTGGGTGTGGTGGTGTAATAGGATTCCTGCACGAATCTATCCAGAATAAGGTACTCCGTACAGTGAGGTGAGGTAGTTGTACGTGGTTATGGACTATTTGAGACGTTGTTGCGCTGTTTAGATTTGCCCAAAGTCGTCTAGCGGCATCGTCGGAGTGCAAGCTCTCGGCATTCGACTTGCAACCTGGCACTTTTGTCTCGAAGCAGAGGGTACGGGCCTGACGGGGACGGCGGACGCGGCGCACGCACCATTGTCCCCGTCTCTTGAGTCTTGACTCTTGGGTCAGAGTGTTTGGTCTTGCCTGTCGGTGTATGAAAATTGGACGGTGCTTGCCGCCTTCCATTCCACGTCGAACATTCCATGGGCAACGGGGGGATGGCAAGGTGCAAAGTTGGAAAAATATGGAGAGAAAATGTGGATAGGTGAGGGAAGGTCTCCACTATAGACCGCTACGAGTGTCAAATCGTTGTCCCGCTCAGCCGTTGTCCCTCGTCCCTTCCTCCCTGAGGAGGTCATGTACCGGTCTCCACTTTAGCCTAGGAGTAAGGAACATGGAAAGGGAAGGGGAGGAGGGGCGAGCCTGGGGAGAAGAGGGGAAGGCATGAGGTGCCTTGGAAAGTGAAAAAAAAAAAGGGAAGGAGTAGACGAATAGCGAGATCTGATGCCTTCCCCAGAGGAAGTTGATTGACTGTCACAGTCAGCTACCAGTTCGTACTCTTTGGGTTGTTTATCGAAAGAGCAAAAATGATATACCAACTAGCGACAACTAGACTGGAAGTCTGTAAAGCCTTGGACGCTCTCCCTTACCTTAGTGCCTTGAGCTTCGGGTCAGGCATTGACAAGGCTGGGGCTCTTTCACCCCTAAAAGACTACACTAAGGCCGATCGGCTGCCGTTTCACACTGACCTCAACCCTCCGCTTGGCCCCGTTATGGGCGCTGCATCGTGTCAGCCAGTCCCCTGTTTTGCTCTGAGCTGTCTGCCCTGGTCTAAACTGCCCTAAGTTTGGAGACAGAGACAGAAGGTGACGACTGGCGGACGGGAGATGTGAGGGTCCAGGGAAATCTGAGGAGGTATGGAGTACGGAGTACTGACGTGTGACTGTGGTCCTTCTCCGTGAAGCCATGTACATACCTTTCCCCACTCGGAAACCTGATGCTGACCACCGATCCCCTGAACCTCAGTCTACTTTACCTTACCTTACTCCGTACCTCCTACTGCCCGTGGATCCAAGGTATTCACTCACATCCATTACCTGCTCCGTACATACGGCATGGCATGCGTGTGGTGCTAGTAATGTGTAGAGTGACGATGGCGGCGACGGTGGCCCTGCCAGGCGCTGGTTTACATCAGGCACGCCGTACCTTGCCTCGCTGCTTCGCCTTGCTGGCCCATCTACCTCACACTCCATGTTGGCTGATGTTATGTAGCCTCTTTATGCCTGAGGTCAGAGGTCTGAAGTCGGGTCGACGATAGAGCTGTGGTATCTGGTATTGTTCAGTGGAGAGGATGGGGAGGTAGGTATGATGTATCTAAGGTCGGGTCTGGTCAATTGTGTAACTGTCCAAGGTACGGAGTACATCTCATCTTTCAGAAGTACCGCGAGTCACTTCTCTGTAAGAGAAAGAAGAGGCCTTGGTCCAAGTACCTCCGCCTCAGAGGCAAGCAGCCAGAGGTACCTCACCTTCCTCCCCCTGCCTCGCCGTCCCTCCTTACCCCCTAACAAAGTGTCCTTACTGGCCAGTCGTCTAAACTCCCGTCTCCTGTCCTGCATCTGCTCTCTGCACTTGCTTGCTTGCGTTGCTTTGCTTGTACCGGAACACACCAAAACACTCCAGACCAAAGGCCAACCGCCAAAGGGTCCCTTTCACCATCAAGCCTCTCAACTCACATATCCTCTTACTCCTCCGCTCGTATCTCTGTTTTTTCCCCCTCTCCCACTCCCACACTCCCCATCTTCAACCACACCCCCAAACCCCCTATCCCTTTCTCCAGGCCTCATCGTCCCTATACTAATGAAGCCTGTATATTGAGACCGTTTACTTTTGTTTCTTTCCTCTCTCTTTTTACGTCTTGCTCAAAAAGATCATCTGGAGGAAAGGACAACGAGCTGGTTTTCGCCCACCACACAATTCCATCGTCCAAGGTTGCTTGTTGGGACTCTCGACGTCTAGACACACTGGGAACCTGTGGAATCTGATCCGAGAGACTGGCCAGACCAAAAGGACGCAACGCTACGCATCCGCATCCGCATCCGCATCGCGCATCGCAGCAGCAGCACCACCAGCAATCGGCGGCACCAAGCATCCACATTGACCCAAGCCCACCGCTAAAAGCTACGCGACCACAAAACGGCTACCCGAGTGCCTGACAAGAGAAATCTTTCCATCACCCCCAGCGCCCGATTTTCGTCCACGTCCACGTCCACGTCTAAAGCCCACTTGTCCCCCCCGACATTCCTTGACCTCACTCCCCCCGACCGACGTCGAACTCTCCTTTTATTTTCTCGAGCACCCAGCAGCCCTTTTGCAACCGACCGACTGGCTGGCCTGGCGT